AACTTTATACAGCGCCACAGTAATGTTATTCGACTAAAAAATTATTCAGTAGATCTAGAAAGTTGTTGAGCAGGGTTTCTTGCATGCTAATATCATTACACAACCTTTAAACCTTTATAAGTTAGGTAATCAAATTTTTGCTAGATATTGAAAAAAAACTGCAGAGTATACTTGGCACCGCTTATAAACGTAGTCACTAAAGTGAGTTTGATATTCTGTCGGCAATTCTGGAGATAAATGTGGTTTGCAGTGTCAAAATGCTTACCTTATTTATACAGTATAAGAAATATACTTATTTTCCTTAACGCGTGGCTTAAAACACACATAGAGAGACCAATGCCTTCCCTATTTCTACATTAAAACAGCAAATAAAGGTGATGCGCAATTTTGCAAAAAAAACCAGCGCTACAGAAAATACCTAACGGTCATTAAAACTCCACTTTTGAAAGAGAGCTTGATCAAACAGTGTGTATTAACCTTTGCACACTCTAATACATAGGTATATAGGAAATATGGTATCAACATAACTTCTGATTTTTGCAAGCTTTACCTGTTAGCTAAGGGGCTGGTAGTTGGCGCAGGTGAGCGGGTGAGGGAATGAACACACTGATTACCGGGAATATACTAATATAAACCATCGCAATTTAGGATTTTATAGTTTTACAATTTGCGAGATGGTTTGTTGGAAATCAGCATAGGATGATGAGTGAGCATGCTGACTACGAAAGCACAGTGAGAGAGGGATATGGCGTACTGTAAATGTGAGACAAGGACAGGAAAATGTTGGGTAGAAAGTGACCACATGGTAGATTCATGTTAGGTTGATAGCGACCGACCGAAGGGCATACTGACTAGCTCATTATAAATTTTACTTGTCGAATTTCCGGATAGGGCTTTTCAATGTAAAATGATGCTTACGTCTATGTCTATTGCGCCTTCGCTCTCGATGGGCTTGTGCTGCTGCCTAGAAAGAAGTTGCAAAGATTCTACTGAGTTATAAATCAACCTCATCATACCTTCTCTGCTGGCGGCAAGCTGTTCTCCCATTCCAAAAACCTTTTCCTAAACTCTTCGCGTCCATGAGGTCGAGGCTAAAATAAATTTGAAGCCTAGAAAGCTAAAGCTACACATACACACAAAAAATAGTTTGTGACAATTATACAAACCGCTAAAATGACCGAACTTTTTGTTAGCCAACCTAATAGAAAAATTTCTTTTTAACGACCAGTTTTCGTACTGACTCGGCTGATGTGGGGCAAAACAATCACTCATGATGCAATAGTTGTAACCTCAGCTTTCCGCCATAATCTCTTTTCACATATACTAAGAATAATTCTAGTTTCAAAAGAGAATAAGTGTCTTTGCCAATGCAATACTCTTTAAATTTCTTCAGTTGTTTTAGGACATGAAAGAGAAATAGTGTGGGACCGTTTCAAGTTCGGTCATCTCGTACTTGCAGACATCTGTTAGATCATGTACACAACACTTGGTAAAATTTGCTTCTTCAATTATTCAATATTTTACTCGATTTCCTTCAATTTAAAATTCTAGCACCTAATTTTATAAGTGCGAGACGCACTATTTCTTCTCCAAACTCCACAAGCACGACGTCAAAAGATCTTGTGACCTACCCAGAAGAATTACTTTAAAAAGCGACAGTTCCAGGAGGCGCAGCAATGTCCCAGATTTTTCCGTATTCTAGAGGGAGCAAAGTGCGGAATTGAGATATTGGACGAAAATATGTAATTCAAAGTTTGTGAATACAAGAGTATTGGAGTTTTAGCCTTTCAAAACTAAGGGGGAAAAAAAGAAATAAACACTTCGCTATATTCAAATTATTGATGAAAATTTTGAAACTCCACTGGAGAAAAAAGAAGCATGATAGCCTTACTTCAGCAAATTCAAACGATTTTTAGGATTATATTGCAATGATAGTTGACACAAAGAAAGCGAACTGATTGTTTTTGAGGTGTTTGGCCAGTCTTGCCCGATTCATATTCTTTTTACTTACAAACAGGTTTAGAACGGTACAAACTTTGTGCTAAACTATTGCAGTTTTTATGGTTTACTAGTTTTCTTAACTAAAGAGGGAGTTGAAATTGTCAAGTTGGTCGACGCTGTTACATTTTTCAATGTGCATACAGATCATAAAGGATGAAGTTGGTAGGATTATGGAACGTCTTACACTCATGATTTGGTGAAGTTTTTCCATGTTGGCTGCGCTTACACCAGGAATCTTTCTGGTCCAGCCACCTTAAAGATACTGTAGAGGACAACTAATCGAATTGTTCGTAAAATCATGTCTTACGTCTTGCAGCGACCATGACGAGAGCAAGAAACACGAGTATTTTGAGCATCTTCGCTATCTTCTAAGTAGGCTTCTAAAAGATCATGGAAAGCTTTCTTGTAAATATTTATAAGCTTATGTTTGGCAAAGCAAAGAAAAGGATTGCTTAAACTTTGTAAACGAATTCTACAAAAAATTAAATGACTGTGAGGCATGATTGCCGGCTAGTGTATCAGTTAAGAAGGAATACTTCACTGAGGATTTGAGCTGATTTTGGCAGTTATGTATTGAGAAGGTAAATCAAAATTTGCGTGCATTCGTTAAGTGCTGTCGCTGTTGAATGAGCACTGTCAGGTGGGAGGAGTAAAGTTTGATAACAGCTCTTTTTTTATAGCTTCCACATGGCAATATTGTTATTCCGCAATATTTCTAATTATATGTGTGGTGACCATTGTATAGGGGTTTTTACCATATTTCACAAAGTTAATATGCTGACAATTTTTTGTGATCGGGAATGACGGAAGCTATAAATTGTTTTTTGAAAACTGTACCACAATTGCCGAACTCTTATTATACACCAAGATGCACCCACGTATATCTCAATATCAGCCTGTCTAAGATTTTGAGATGAAATTTTCAGAGGATACAAGCAATGATAACCACAAATCACCAATACATGAGCCTTGAGAAAACGAGTTCCCAAATCAATCACATATTCTTGAAAGAGCGCAGCAAAACACGGTTTTGCTACTGGCGAGCCCATCCCCCTCCCCCCCCCCGAGAGTGGGTCGCGAACTTCTTGAAAGTTACTTACATGGATTATAAAAATGTGCAAAGGGCTTGTTTGTACATACAAATACTTAAAATGATTTTTGAAATTTTTTAGAATCTCAATTTACTTTGAAAAAGAATATACGGAAGGAAGCATGGCTAACACTACGCCCCTTTTCCGAAAATTCGGGTCTATGGGTCCGCAAAAATCTAAACAGGGAACGATACTTGGTGACCCCGGCCATCCATAATTGTTTGTATATTAAAAAAATGCGCCTTTTGATGATGGTTAGAACACTGTTTTCCATATCTGCGAAACGAGAACCTGGATTATATTTATTTCTTCAAAAATGAATTGCGCTACTGCGAAGGGTGAAAATCATTAATAAAAATCTTTGCTTTCCTCTTTAAATGACAAATGTGATCAGACAGATATAACTACAACGTTACACTTTTCAAGATTCTCCTCAGTAGTTTCAAGCGGTAAAATAGATAAAAGTGGGTGATTTTAACTACCAAAAGTACGAAAATTTTCTACGAAAAAAGTTCATAACGGGTCACAAAGTACCATGTTCTTGTAAGTAAACATACCAAGAAATTTTTCGGAGTGCGTGGTTGACACCACGTACCTTTACTAGAAAAATTTTTTTGTCGTGCCTCTCTACCCCATTCCCTGAACGAAAACCTTGGGTAAGCTACTAACTTCTACTTACACTTTTACTGCATTCTATTTGATCTTCTGTGTTACGTCTTAAAATTAACAACTAAAAAATTATATTTATAGCAGTCTCACCTGTAAATAGTTGCCTGTTTCACAAGTGAGTGAGAAAGTAAGCGCTTTGCATTTTCACTTCCTCATTAATCATTTATATGAAGATGGTTGACCCAAAGACCTATGAACTTTGCTCAAAAAACAAATTGAACACATCGATCGCTTAGAATATTTCCTGTACTTATTAATGTCAATAACAAGTTGAGTATTCTGAGTCAATTTTGTTTCATTCATTTCTTCGAAATTGCACGACTCAAGATCACATCATCATTTTTGACAGCGCTAAAACATACGCGCCGTATTCCACAATGTCACTGCTGTACTTTGCTCAGGGTGTTCCTGATGTTTCAGTAACAGCAAACTTCACGTTTTTACACACTTTCAAAGGGTGGCAATTGTCGTTAAAGGCCAATAACCATAACAAAGATTCCTCTCAAATGAAACAAAGCAATACAGCGAATTCGCCATTTTTTGTGCACCTTTCAGATGATTCACCGGAACTTCTGCAGGATAAGCAAAATTACTATTGCAAGAGTGGATTCGTTGAAAATGGAACTCCTGCAGGTCCTATTACAAAGCGCTGCGGAACTTTCGAAAATGTCAGTGGTACCAGCGCCTTGCCATGCCAGTACTTCCGCAGGTTTTTGGTGTGCTGTCTCGTACGATGTTGCCCCGCCAACAACTAGGGCGCATTATCGAACATGGCATCCATAGTGCAAATGGTAGTAGGTGAGTCCAGTTAATAGAGTAAGGTTCAAATTACGCTCAGGTGTTCTCTTTTGCTGTTGTGGTTCGCATTCTTCGAACTTCCGCAGCGCACTTACGGAACCTCCGCAGCACATTTTGTGAGCTTCCGGAATTGGCGGAACTTTCCTAAACGTTCTGCGAAAGTTCCGGTCAGTTGTCTCAGCTATATGCACTTGACTGCGCAAGTCACACTCTACACTCACTCTATTTTGTGTTTCAAACATTTTGTAAAGATTTTTTTATGTTGCTGTCAGAGCCGTTTCTGGAGTACCGATCCGCACGCATAAGCAAGCACTAGGGCACATTGTGGATTCGTCATTAGGGAAATTTTGGTGTGTGTTATTTGTTATTTCGTAAAAAAGATGTAGATGGGAAAAAAAATCTCAATCAAGCCTTTTTTGATGTGTGACACAAAAATAGTTTCATTTTTATCTCATAAGCAATAATGCGACAAGTGCAAAAATGCTTTATCACAAGCACCTGATCCTCTGCCCAGATATGGATTTTAAAGAGGAGGAGGGGGCGGAGGACCTCTATGTCTTTGACGCATCTGTTCCCTATGCGCTTCTGCTGCTGCCTAAATTTTTTACTTTTATAAGCTAAGCATCGTCTGAAATCGGCGATCCAGAAAGTTTGTTGAGCTGGTACATACCTTATCCGCTGGTGGCAGACTATTTATCCATTCGTCCATCTTCTGCTGAAACGCTTCTCTTCCTTCCGGTAAAGGCTGAAATTTTAAAGTTGACTCAAATTTCACTATTTTCGCTTGATCAAGGACAATGTGCGCAAACTTACATTGCGTTTATAGAGTAATTTCCAATTTGAAAAAACTCACATTCATCATCTGACGTAGCCTATCCATACTGGAATCACTCACACCTGGGATGCCTCTTTGAAGGAGTTCTAAAGGAAGCCCGTAAGACTCAAAAATTGCTCTATACAGCTGAATTCCTTCAATGAACAAGAATTCCTAGGAATTTACAGTTTATTTTTTTAACTTGATTTTCTCCATTCTCTGGGCATGGTACTGTAGACTCAAGTAGCCTTTTAGAACCGTTTTGTAGCTGTTCTCACTATGAATCTTGCTCGTTTTCATCTCATTATTGTATCTGGATTCCTACTGCTGTAAAAAGTATTTAGATGGAAGCAAGGTCTGAAAATGAAAGCTTTCCCATGCCTTGTTCTGCTTAAAAACCCTATTTCTCGCGTCCGTTTTCCTCCACATATTTTTCCGGAAATTTTTTTTTGGCTTTTTAGGAAGTCACTGCGCCTTTGATATAGCTAGCAGACTGAACAATTGTTACGTGACTGATTGTGAGATCGCGCATTATGCTAAATCTGAGTTTTTGGGCTTTTCAGCCCATTTCTTTCCATAAATCATACAGCTCGATTTTGTTTTTAGCGAGGAGCAAGATTGAGACGGGAAACGTCAAAATCTGCAACGAACGTTAGAAATGGTCAAAACATGTTACATCTCGTTCAGTGCTGCATGCGGTCTGCTGCTGTGCGTGCAACACGAGTCAGTTCAAGACATCCGAATGCTGTGCTGGAACTTTGCCAGGACTTCCGCATCAGTATGAACGCAGCCTAAGGAAGTTAGCTCCTCAATAATAGCTGGTATGTTGACCCACTGACAACGATGTGGACCACCCGTGGCCCGTGCTTTTGCTGCCAGGGACGAAGTAAACCGTCGATGCCCACAACTGTTACAAAGTCATATCCTTTGCAGGGCTCGTATTTTTCCCACATATTTTCTCCAATTCTTTGCACTCTTGGGACCTGTAGGCTTTGTCTTCAAAAAATGTTTGTAGATAGTTGCTTAAAAACAACGTTGCATTTCGTAAACAACCACAAAACCTTTCCGCACCAAAAGTGTTGTGTAAAATCAACGTCTATAAGTTAAAATATTTCGAGAACAGAATCAAAAATTAGATTTTCACGTAGAACATGCATGTAGAAGAGCTACAAGACTAGACTTTATTCAAAAATGTGGGAAAACTCTAGAAGTTATGGTGACTTTGTCTCGTCAAGTATAGTACCTATACTATTGCGACTTCACAAAATAGTGCAGAGAACACGTGCTGCGATGCGTTTAAACGAGAAGGTTACCCAGTTATACTGACAAATTGGAAAGAGATGCGTATTATCGGAAGCGCCTGCAAATGCTAATTCCGGGTTTGCTTTTTACATTTTTTTACTTACCGAATATTTTTTGGAAAGTAGTTGTGTTAAAAAAACTATTGTTGTACTCATTATATGCAGATCGTTTGTATTTATTTTTTTATCTACTTACTCAATGCGCACAAGGCGTGCCATATTGGAACAAAATAAACGGATATTTTCAGAACCTGACAGTAAAAAACAACCAATAAAAAAATCTACCAGAAGTCCAAGTCCAGCTCTCAGAAGTGTTGAAAATAGAAGGGGATAAACTTGTTTGGACCTTGTATGAATGTATTGATTGTTATGATGAAACATTGAAACATTATATTGGCTATACTTTTGGATCCGCTCCTGACTTTTTACCTACATTAACTGTAAATCTAATGACTCAGAATTTCAAATACTTACAAAATTACTCTTCATTTTTGGCAGATAAGAAAAGCACATTAAAAATAAGCGTTCGAAGGCGTTTTTGATGGTATGCATCTCTAACCGATTTGCCAGTGCAATTTGCATACAATTTGATTCAACTGGCACGGCGGCTGGAAGGCGTAGTTTCATGACCTATTTAACGCTAGGTAATGACCAGAGAGCAAAGCGTGGGAGAGACTCAGACTGCGTCGAGGGCGCGAGCTGCCTTAATTAGGTCACAAAGCCTTGCCTTCCAGCCGCTAAGCCAGTTGAATCAAAGGTTTCTTCCTAGTATATCTCTAGCAGAGTAGTGGTATACTAATCTGCTTGCTTTTTTGAACAAGCAAACGCCGTGTACTCATCAAAATAGGTTGTAACAGATATACTGTGATCAGTAAGCTTACCAGCATGACGTCTTTCAAACATTTGTCTTCTGTGATTTTGCACTGCTGTCTGAAAGAAAATTTTCTGAAAAAGAGAAGGCAAGGATCTCCACAAACCCTCTCAGCTGCTGGTAAACTGTTTTCCCATTCTTGCATCCTCTGTTTAAACTCTTCGCGCCCATTCGGACGAGGCTAAAAAACAGTAAAATATTGCTATGACTTATCGCTTACACAGAAAAGGAATAGGACAAGCAAATTGCAGTGAAAAACCATCAGGTTTCATGAAATCATTCTCTTTCGTGGCTGTTAGTGGCTAAACCAATCGTATTGAAAAAACCAATCGCATCGAAAAAAGAGAAAACTTTTGTTTTAAGGGTCAACCTTATGCTGCAAAAATGGAAATGACATACGTTCATCATCTGACGTAATCTTTCCATGTTGGCCGCACTTACACCAGGTATGTCTCTCATCTCGCCCGCTAAAACATTCAAAATAAGTCCATCAACACCATCTGCTCAAGAAAAATCCTACGCCTTGCTGCGATTCCAGTGGCAAAAGCAAAAAGAGCCAGTAGTTTCAACATCCTGTACCTGGTTCCCTGATTAGACCTAGAATGTAAAAATTAATCATGTAAGTCGCTTGCTTCCGTACAGATGGCATAACTTTCGTATGTGGCAAAAAAGAGAATTAGCCTATTTTGAAAGACTTGAACAATATCCTGATCAGTTTCTTATACCATGCGAAAAATTAGCAGAGACATATCAGTTGAAGTTGCTGTAGAAACAGCTGATTAAGAATCATTTTGAGACTCAGATTTCAAATAAACAACTAAATTAGAAATCTTACAAGGGAACGGTACTTGGTCGAAGTGGCGTTTCCATATGAAATGTATACTATCTTATAGAGCATGCAATGCTAATTCCAAATCTGCTTTCCTTATCTGCAAAGTGCTTCTGTGAGGAGAGTTATGAAAAGTTTTCGATACAAAATCTTGAAAACGCAGCTACAATAAAAGCATTCAGAACTTTGATTCGTTAGTTCAGAAAGGGCCATATTTACTGCCAGGACCTTTTATGCAATAAATACCTTCAATCCAACAAACTCATGTCAGTCACTACTTCTTTCAAGCGCCGAAAAGATCTCAACGGCTGTTTTTACCTTAGCCAAATCACTGAATTTTTATCTCAAAAATTTCCAGAACTTCCAACCCAAAAGCGCTTTGCAGATAAGGAACGTAGATTTGGAATCAGCTTTTTATTCTCTATAAGATATAGGGGCCTGCAGGATCGCGAGAGTCGGACGCGCGTACGGCCTTTGCGCCGCGCACGCCTGATATCGCTGGGTCGTAGTCGATTAAGGCTAGATAGGTAAGTTTTTTTTGTTTTTCTTTACATTTCACGCCTTCTTTTCTTTTCAGACGGTGAGCACATGTTGGTGCGGAGGAGTTTAAGATCTGAATCAAGGTGAGGTGCAGGATTATGCTCAATACGGACTCAATATTGCAGACCTTCCATGCCTGCTGCTTGAGATGTTGGATTTTCTGTCCTGGCTGCCCTGTTACAGCAAACTGTTCTATTCTCTGTCTGTTCTACCTTATCTTGCATATTGCTTGTGATGATGATGATGATGATGACAATGATTATGATTGTGATGACGCGCATGATGCAAGATGAGGTAGAACAGACGTTGCAAATAAAACGGAGTTTCGTAACCGGGCAGGCAGGACGAAAAATCGAACATAATCGGACAGCCAGAACAGAAAACTCAACATTCTTCAAAGCAGGGGTGAGAAGTCCACAATATTGGCCCGTATTGAGCATAATCCTGCACCTCACCTTAATCTAGATCTTAAACTCCTCTGCACCAACATATGCTCGCCGCCTGAAAAGAAAAGAAGGCGAGAAATGAGAAGAAAAACAAAAAAATCTCACCTATCCAGCCTAAATCGAGTACGACCCAGTGACATACGACGTGCGCGGCGCAATGGCCGTACGCACGTCCGACTCTCGCGATCCTGCAGGCCCCTATAGTATACATTTCATATGGGAACGCCACTTCGACCAAGTATCCTTTTCTTGTTAGGAGTGATATAGAACATGCGTCAATTTCTTTTTTGCTATTTTTTGGTAAACAAAATTTTACTTTATAAAAATTATCGTAACTATGTTGATTCTTGTCCAAGAAACAAACGACTTATTGTGGTGTAATAAGTATGCAATTTTCCGACTTGCATATTTTGCCGCTGTATCTCTTTATAAAATCGATCTTTTAGACGCAGTAAATTTTTGAACGTTTGGTTTGAAAGAGCATCTTACTCTGGAATGAAGAAGGATAGCTTGGACTTCACTAAATATGCAACAGATAGTCGCTAATGTCGCATCTCCAAGCTTGGATATTGGAAAAACTTTTTTTGATATCGCAAAAATTTCGAAAGTGCCTCTCGGTTTTTTTGAAAGCGGAATTAAAATGCGAGATTTCTACTATGAAATGTCCTAATTCAACTCCTCTTTCGCTGCGTACAGCGAGAGTTCCACAATCGCTTGTTATGATTATACAACGCATGAAGGTCACAGTTCAAACTGCTTTGAAATTCTTTGAAGTTACAAAGCAGTTTGAAACTTCAAAAAAGTTTTTGAAGTTTTTAAAGCTTAGAAATTGTTTGAAATTTACTTCCATGTTTTTTGTAACACAACTCCCTCGCATGAACCATGCAGATTTGCTAGGAATTTCTTCTCTTTCCTAGGCTGATTTAGAGCAAGAGAGTAAGGAAAATTTTTTTTTGCTTTGTTTCTTTTTAGGGTTACGTAGCGAAAATGAGCCACCTCAAAAGAAACGGAATGCATAAGAAGGGAGTTTTCAAATGATTGCAAGAATTCAACAACAAATCATGTAATAGTCCAAAGCAGCGCTTCAAAAAAAGGCTCAAAAAACATGCACTGATTTCATTCCAACTTTATAAATGCAAAACCACCGTTTATGGCTTTTACTCAAAGAAACTCTAGATATCTCATCGAATGCGTGCCCAGTTTTATGCAAATGCTATGGAAAAAATTCAAAATCAATCATAAGTTGTCCTGAAAAATCTGTATTTTCATAAACTTTGGGCTATCTCAACATATTTGCTCTTTTGTGGTTTTTTGAAAGGAGGAGTCTTCCTCTTTGTATTTATCTTGATAAGCTTTCACTTTACATTGGTTGCGAAGATAAAACTGGAGAAAGAAGACTATTCAAGACTTGATCATTTTAAGTTACGCTGCCAAATATTTGGAACGCTGCAGAGAAGCCCGAACTTTTCAGTACGTAGGTTTTATGACTTACTCTTTGCAACCAAACAAAAGGTTGTGCGGTTTAAACGCTTCCAAGAAGTTATGGGTTTTGAATTTACAACAGAAAAAGTCGAAATTGATTGAAATCACTTTTCTCTTAGATTGCAACTTTTTACGGAGACATCTAAGCTAAATTTTCTCAGCCACAATAAGTATATCAAGGACTTATGAGCTGGGTTACAGATTCTCTGCAGCGTTTAAAATTTCTGTTTGATTACAGCTTAAATGTTCTTTTTTTCCTGCTTCAACCCCTGCAATTAATGCATGATAGAAGCTCATCACGACATATTTGCAAAGAGAAAACCCTCCAATTTTATTAAAATCACAAAAAAAACAGATAGGGGTCTTGCGAAAACTTATGAATTTTCAAAAATGAAACAGCAGATCTATCGGGACGACCTAATATCTTGTTATTGTCCACTGCTACGTCAATCTCACAATAAGTTTCTGTGTTTGAATATGAGCCCGTGCGACACGCTATCGATTTGTTGGGTCGTTTTATAAAATCGTGGAGTTTTCATAAGCTAATGAAATGACAAAATTTATCATAATACAGTCAATAATGTGTGTATCGTTATTGCACACAAATTTCGCCATTTTGCCATCAGTTTGCCATAGATTCAGTCAAGTCTTGCAAAACTTAAAAAGTCTGGTCCTTAAATGTCGTCACTCTTTAACTCCTCTTCTGAATCGAAGCAAACGCATTCAAGTGGTTTGCAGTAGTCCAGAGCAAACGATAATTTACCATAGCGAAAGCTTATCAGGACAAGGATGTTAATGTACCTTCCAATCAAATCTTGCAAGACGATATGACTACGTTCCGCATGGAGCCATATTTTGTCGCGCAGAAAAACCGCTGGACCTGTCTAGCAGACCTTTTCTGCAGCATGTTTTATTCAAGCTTTGAAGTTGAGCCGCGCAAAATGTTTATTTTATTTTATATTATTCAAAACGCTCATTGGCGTTCTTCACAAACGAACAACATATGGTTGATCTTTGTTTTTAATCAGCAGTTTCAAGGGCAGGAGTTCTTGCCCGTTCCACTAGAAGTCTTGTTCAAAAGCATTTTGTCTAATTCTTGGCCCTCTGGATCACTTTTGTCCTCTTATGTCTCATATTGACGTATGGAACTCTATTCCTTAAATTCGACGAAAATCTGTGTTAAAAGGCTTCTTCTTGTAAAAGAAATCCGCAAGTACCCTTTTTGCTATTTAAAGGCGCAGTCTACTAAGTCAGAGGTCTTAAGCTTCTAGCAGCTTATTATAGTAAAACCCCATATCGGGCCAATGTTCAAGTCGCGGCGTTAAATTTTGCTTGGAAAACGAAGAAATTGCTTCAAAATAGCGAAGGGGCATGGGGACCCCAAGTTGGCACTGCCCCTCCAGTACCCCTACCCCCCCCCATCCTACGCGCCCATCCAATCACCGTTGCGAAGAACCAGGGCTGCGGGTGCTCCGTAAAGGGGACTGTTTGAGGTCTTCGGTCTCGACTTGATATTCGAAATCAGGGACATGAAAAGACCCCGGAACGACCAAAAATGGAAGTCGAGAATCTAGGTGGAGTGCCTTGAAGATGCCTTGAAGTGTTGAAATAGATCAGCATTTTATCGAATGCAATAATTTCACTTGAAAAAAATGCACAGCTTTTCTTAAAAATATTTGCATTTTGCCGCAAGTCAACCCTCCTCAGAAAAAAACTGCGAGCTTATAAAATGATCTAATATACCAGTGATGCAAAAAGTGAGCTTTGAGAATCAAAATTGGAAAGAAAAAGACATAACAGAGGTTTCAAACCTTTGTAATACCAAACCAACTATCAACTTCGTTTTTTTTTGAGCAATCCCATATGAACAAGGATATAAAGGATGAAATCAATTTTGACTAAAACTTTTTGTTCAAACTACCTCCTCACTGCATAGTGGTATGAGCCAGACCCCATAACTATGCGGTTATGTTATCCGCTATAGTATATGGGGACAGGTGTGAGTCAGTTTCTACAAATGGATGGGCAGCAGTAATGTGACAGTGATGTTAGATCTGCGATCCTATCTTTCCATGATTAAAAACAGAGTTGAAAATACCATTATACTACGATAACCCCTATATTAGTGACTGCTTGATGTGAAATTCATACCAAAGCATATGCAGTTGCAGTGGTGGAATCCGGCAAAAATGCAGGATTTGCGAGTTTAGTTGTAACTTCTTCTAAAACAATTTTCTTTGGAATTTACAAGAAAATTTGGCTTCACCTTGATGAAACTAATCTTTTAGCATACATCATGCCCGTAGT